CATGCCCTATAGCCAGCCAAGGCAGTACAGCCTTGTTTGTGTATGTTCCGACTCCAGAGAACTCAGAGGGGTTACCATAAGCCCAGCACTAATTACAAAACCATATGTAGGAGGAGTTTCATTTGGCAATTGATTTTAGGGAGGTTTTTATAAAATGCCCTTATAAAGTCTGAATTAAATTAATTTACAAATATTTCCAACTGCATATAGAGCTACTGACAGGTTAAATTGACATAGTGAAATAAACAACCAACCTGTATATCAGCTAAATCACTAATTCCTCTCTAATCCCATGGCTTCCTCATCGTGAATTATGGCTTTGTCCTTCCTGAGCTAAGCTACTAGGAAATGCCCCAACTCCTTCCCTCAAATTCCACCCACCAAGGCTTCATACAGCAATAAGGGAATATAAATAGCTGAATGGACAGACAGAAAGATGGAGTAATATGCAATTTAAAAAAATCTCTTTTCTTAGCTAAATTTTTATTTAAACTCCACTGACGTACACATTATAGACTGGGTGTTTGTTACAGGTGAACATTTGGACTTACTTGTCAGCCACTCTGAGTGGTGCCCACGCATCTGCACACTGGATGTGTTGTAATAATTCCCTGTAGTGACAACAGCTGCAAGGGCTAGTTTGAGTACAGACCAGTGCTGCTGCAAGCTGTTTGTTTCTGCTTTGACAGCATTCATTTTTAAAAGGTTTCTGGGGAATTCCTTGCAACACACATTTCTTTTCTCAATTCGCTTTTCAGTAGTCATGTACATCCCAACCATCCTAAAATATTGCTCTGTTTGCATGAAAAAAAAAATGACCTAACATTCTAGTCAAGTTTTCCTTCCTCCTGTTAGTGGTAATTTAACTATAATTTCACCGCCTGTCCTGTCCATGTCACCACCGCCCAAGCAGAACAGACCAGCACCCCATCAGAAGCAGATTATGCTTTGTGCTTTGAGAAATTAACACATAATGTTATAAGAATAGGTGGTCTCTCACATGTCAACAAACATTCCTGTAAGGCGCAGACTGTACAGAGACCTTTCTAAAGACAATATAAGAAAGCACTGTATGTCAGTGATTCCAACATTGTGTTGTCAATATATTTACATTGCATAATCACAAACAAAATGATCTTGGAATGTCAGTTTAGGTCTTTATGTAGCAACCTGTACAACGTTAGCTACATCAGCAGTAGCAATGTGACAGAAGCATCTTTAGATTGTCCCACTCAGCTGCCAGCATTTCCATTCTCCATCATGTCCTTTGGAGACAGTGGATAAAAGAGTGGGTCTTTTTATATCACAAACAATAATCCAGTCCATTCTTGCCATGCCTCAACATGCTTATTAGATACCGCTCTGGTGAGTAATATGGTGATGACAGTAATTTGACTACAGCAGCAAGTTTCCATAGGCACTAAAGTGCTTTGCAGGTTCATCTGGAAGGCAAGATCATTTGTATTAGTCTTTTTGGCATCTGCTCCACAGTACAATACTAAGAAGAAGTTCAGCAATTTTCAGCCAGTGCCACCATCTGTTCCTGGAGATATGATTTTCCCGGATGTACAGGTGGTGCACATAATTTTCCAGGTGGTCCATGCTGCAAATTGCTAAGTCTCCTCCTAGTAATGTAGCATTCTCTCTCATGATGGTTCTTTCTGTTCCAATACATATTATCTCCCTTGGGAACTGGGGCTGCATTGAATGGCAGCTGTCTCACAACTGACAAACTGTAGTAGCAAGAGGTGAGTAGGACATACCAGTAACTAATGAACTCAATCCCTTTTCTTTGGTTGGAATGGAGGGAATCCAATTTTATCATCACTATTGCAAGCTAACCTCCTGACCAGCTCATTTGGGAAGATGCCCTGCTCATTGTAAAAGGTGAGCGCTACAGCTGTTGTTACTGTGGCCTATTTACGGCTCTTTAGACTTGTGACTGGGCAATCGACCTGTACCAGCTACTACTTGTCTGGGGTGGGTGTGTGGAATAGCAAAGAACTCAACTCTTATATGAACTTATAGTGAAGAATAATAAGCAGGAGCTGAGTCATGGGGGTACCGCTCAGCCATCCCTGCTTATTCTACAAGGGATGGCCTTTTGGGGATGCTTATGGGACAGCATAGTGGATTCTGTCAGTTGTTCATACATTCAACTCTCTTTTATAGTGAGGGGGAAATCTCGCTCCCCTGGGGTACTGAGCCCCCAGAAGGGTCCGAGGCCGGAGGTCAAATCAGTGAGGCAGGAGAGAAACCTAGAAGGGAAAACTTTATGATGCATGCATGCAGGCTGTCACTTCCAAGAGTGAAGCAGCAGCCCTGACAGACAGATTCAGGTATCCTATATACAGAATGCTTAGACAGTTCAGTTGTGGATTGTTCTTCTTTAACATATCAAAGTCTCAGCAGAAGTACTTTGAGACTTCTGTTCACCCCAGGAGTGCTAGAAGTAAGTTTTTACAGTACACAAAGCCACATGAGAACTTGAGTGGAGGAGTCTACAAGGCAAACTGTGACAAAGATAAGGGTTTACATGACAAATTGTAACAGACTAGGAGTATCCATGAATTTGAGATAGTCATTTGTAAGGGTCTTTGATTAGAGCTAATTTGATTTCTCTCTGTTACAGGGAGAAAGGCCTGGAAAACTTTTTAACCCTTACAGCAGTTTTCTTTTAGAAAGTTATGATTTCTGCACAGTCTCCCCTTAGACACAATTGGAGTTATTTGATTTTTCTCCCACAGTAGTCCAGCAGCCATTCTGGTCAACCTTGCTTTAGGGGCCACACACGGTTTTTCTGGATTCAGTATTTAAAGGCCATACATCATAAGAATCTGCCTGACAGCATTAAGCATTTTGAAATATTGACTTTTCATCTGCAAATGCTAATGCTGATTTTATCAGATCTCAGCAACATAGCTCACCTCCTTGGCATGCACAGAATTTGGTATATGGTAGTTTAGCTCTGTTGCAACAAACATCATGTTTGCAAGGTACATCACTCTCACAGGAGTTCTGGATTTACCAGACATTTAGATATTTTGAAGTTAGGATTTTGGGAGCAGGCTTGGAATGGTTATCGTGTATCCCTCCATACTGCAGTGGATCAAGTGGTGGTGCATGTAGATCCATGCTTTTCCACATACATGCTTAAATACGTGATGTTACATTTTCTATTAATGCTTCAGCTTTGGCATTGACCTGAGACTTTTGACAGTTTCCCCTGCCCAGATTCCTGCCACGCCTCTGACAGGTGGCACAACTATCTGCACCATGCAGCCATGCATTGCTACATTGATGTCATGCAGCAGACAGAGGGCATATTCAGCTTTTACAGAATCTTCAGCACAGTATGTTTGTCAAAGTCAGAACAGGAAGTTATCTTATCACAGCCTAAGGGTGCATGATCAGCTAACAGTTCTGGTACAATATTCCAGTGTTGCTCTGCAGTAGCACGGATCTCTGTCATACCAGTCTGTTAGACTTGGGGTTCCATAATCATCAGTGTCTGTTGTAAGCTGAACAGTTGTGCTGCCATGCAGGAGAGATTCAAATGCTGCTTAGCAGATAAGCAGAGCAGCCATAGCGCCCACAGACAGCAACATGTGTTTCTATTGGTGGTGCACATCTGCACATGCTTCGGTGAACGTAACAAAAATTACTCCACTCATGGATGAAAAAAATTAGAGGGAACACTGATAACCACTAATGATAAGCTTTGTTAAAGATGATGGTATAAGAGTAAGACAAATATGCCAGCATTGATATTCGCACCAATTTATCTTTTGCAATCCCCATTTCTTAAACAACAATGTTGTCAGTTTCCTCTCGTGAGTTTGCCATTTCTTCTTCCTGCACTATTTCAGCTGGCTTGTTGTCTCGCCCTGTGACATCTAGCTTGTGCTATATACTGTGTCACTTGCAAAACTTCTGTCTTGAATGAATTCTTATAAAATTATATTAAATCAAACTGTTTATTATTTTTTATACACATTAAGAAAACTTTCTGTAGAGTCCAACTGATGCATCCTGGTGGCTTGTATAACTCTGCTAGATCTTGTGACATTTTTGTGCTGATGTTTTTGTATCTGTCAAAGACAAGGCTGTGTACATATCTGCTGCTAGCTTGTGTTGTGTGTAGACTCTGAAACTGGTCAAAATTCTTGATATCACTTGCTAGCCAGTGAACTAGACAAAGAACTGTAGGACTGTCATTGACCGTGCAGGCGACTTCTTGTGAAATATATCTAGTAAAATGTTGTGATAAGCCTCAGCTAAAAAGAGACAAACACATTATTTGTGAAACTCTTGTTTCCACTTCAGTTAGCACCTGTTCCACTTCACCTATTAGGCAAACATGAGACACAAGCCAGGAGACAAAGTTTTGACTGATGTGCAAATCTCATTAATGCATTTGTATTACTCTGTTTTACTATTTTATCAAATACACACCTACACGCTACATTACTAGACACACTCATTTTGGCATTTGAAGGATGTCAGTACAGGCATCAAGGAAAAAAGATATATTTTACTTCAAATTATCTGCTCATTTTACTATTTCACACTTAACAACTCTAAGTTTGAAGCCAAAGATGACAACTTTCAGAAGCACAGATTCTCCAGCTGTGGTTCTTGGTCCATTGGTAGACTGTGGAGCAACTACTGAAATCCACAACAAGATGAAACTGGCTGTCAATCTCCTCCTATTTCCAGCTGCTAACTTTCACTGACAGACAGCTAAATAGATCATTAGATACTTTATTATTATTACTTTTCCACATAAACAATTGCTATAGTTGCCACTGGCCCTTGGCAGTGCGAAAAACGGATTGCACAATTGTGAAAGAAAATGGACATGACCCAGGACACTGTTTTTATTAAGACGTGGTGCACACTATGAACATTTGAGAACCACTTCTATAAAAATTATAACTGAAGAGAGACTAAACTAGACTGCATACATGTTGAAATTTGATAAAAATCACCAATATGGAAAGATTCTTAAACTGTTTATTAAATCAGACAAAAGAGTTGATAACACATGGACAATATAGGCAATGCCAATGATTACATCATTAGCATTGTATATTGACAATGTACAGATGCACTCTGGTACAGCACAGTACACAGACACATTTCTACATAGTGTTAACAAATTCCTGTCAGTACAAACCTCATTTGGAAATAAAGGTATCTAAGCTAATAAGATCTTCTGAAGGCAAGAAGGAACTTGAGTATATTACTCTCATTCATGTTTATGGTTTGCATTTCCATTTATGAAGGAGAGCTATTTTTTCCAACTCAGCAATAATTTTTTTTTTAAATGTAAGCTATAATATCCACCATTGTTTGCATTCTTGACCATGGTCAGCTCTAGATACATAGTTGGGACTTGTAACAAAAAAGCAGAAATGAAGATAGCCAACAAGAACAGACATTCCATCTCCAGGAATATCCAAACAGGACCAGAACTCAAGTCATTTACAACCAAAACAGAGAATGTGTATACTCTGTAATTAGAGAAATTATAAATACATTCAGTAGATTAAACTTCTCTTTGCCATCAGCAGCTAGGGGATCATTGAACACGTAAGCACTTAACCTCCTGATAATTAAAATAATTAGGACAACTCATCACACTCATATTGGGCCTGAATTCCTTTTGTACTCTAATTTCTAAGGAACTAGAAAAAAATAGTCCATGAATGTAAAGATTGCAGTTGGAATTATTGCATCATTTCCATTCTACTACAACATAATTTCAAAGAGCACTGTTGTCTCTGCTGTTCAAACACTAATCTGAATAGTGTTTTTATTCCTGTTATCAATTATATGCATAAACATCTGTTAAGTACTGTACCAACATTTTCATATCTTTAAAGTTGAGAGGGAAGAAGTATTAGTGTTCTTCAAATAAACTATTATGTATATTTTTATAATAAAATGAATATTTTAAGACACTTTAATGGAAGGCAGAATAGAAGCAACTAATAATACACCCATTAATTCATACAAATTAAAACAGATTATTGTCCATTAACACAAAAACAGATCTACCTCAACAAGCACTTTTCTTGTGGACATTGTGATTTTGTCTGGTTCACCTAGGCCATTTCTCAACATACAAATAGAGAATACTCAATTTATATTTTTTTACTTTAATACATATTTTGTTTTGTAGGTATAGTATCTAGAATGGGATTTTTCACATTCATTTAGTGACCAACAGAGCTAGCAATCTAGAAACTGTTTACCAACAGGTTGATTTTTCTGAATAAGAAGAAGGAATTTTCATTTGAAATAAACAATAGAAATGAAGGGACTAGAGCACATTTTTTAAAAGCTTTCTAGGTAGTTGAGATCAGAACTAGTAACATACTTATAATTAAAATATAAAACTGCAGTGTGAAAAACACCTTTATTTGACTAACAAATATGCAGATATAGTAGCTGTCTTGTGTTGTTTGCTAATTGACATTCATAAAGTCTACACCACTTGGGTACAATCTCAGGCAGTTGGACCATCAAGCATCAGCACCATATGCTGCCCTTCTTGGGGTCTTCTGAACTGGCTTGAGTTGAGTAAAATGTTCCTTCATTTCATTCACCCTGAACATCCACCAGTCCTGGAATGCCATTTATTCTCAATATATCTAAGTACAGCAAATAGTCCTGTAGACAAGTGGGCAATGGCAACTTGCGTATAAATTGGTCAGATTGTAGGTGTTCGTTTTTTAAAATATACCGGATCTCAAGACGACAAAGGTGAGCCAAGGAAGGGATAAAGGCTGGAAAATTAAAGAAACAAAAATCAATCTGAGGAAAAGAATTACTGGATTAAGATATGTGTTTATATTTTTGCTTCTCTTAGGCAGTTCTCCTTTGCTAACAAAAAGCCAAACACATTAAATAACCCACTTGCCAGATGATTAATCACAATTCTAATGCACGAAGAAGCCTAGCAGATTTTAAACCAGCATGTTAGAAGGTCTCTGTATCAGCTGGATAAAAATAACTTAATCTTAATATTCATGAAAAACTAATCCATGCTAGGGATATAAAATCCCAATTAAAAAGCTAACTGATTAATGTAACATTTAACCAGTTAACCATGATCCTGCAGCAGGGGGCTGCTGCAGCGTGGCTGGGTCTGCCACACCGTGGGCTGCTTGGGCCAGGCCTGCCGCAATGCATGTGGGCAGTGGGCTGCTTCCATCATGCTAGGCAGGGCCTGCTGCACTGCGCTGTGGATGGCCTGGCTGGACTGGAGCAAGGGTGCGGCCAGGGAAGTCCTGCAGCCAGGTGAGCCCACTGCACTGTGCCATGGGCGGGAGCTGCTCTGGCCAGGCGGGTCCACCGCTCCACGCTGTGGGTGGTAGGGACCAGAGCAGCCCTCCCACTGGGTAACTGGTTACCCCAGTAAGCATGCTTGTAAGGGGCATGTTTACCAGGTAACTGATTAACTCTTTACATCCCTACCCTCTACTAAAAAGGTACAGTTAACCTGCCTGAACCACCAGTTGCTTGGTGAGAGATTAGCAGATGTCATGTTACACCCAGGGACTGACAATTAATCGAGAGGAAAGAAAGTCAACAATGGAGACACAGATTTACTGTGGGGAGAAAAGAGTCAATATTGATGACAAAAGTAATGGGTTAATGATCATATAATCGTCATCTTCTCTTGTTATTGTTCAGGCTATTATTAGTCAGCTTTTTTTTAATCAACCACGATTCACGATTACATATTTGTACAAAATACTTATGAGTTGTGTTAACCTGTTGTGTTGGATAATGTGTTTTACTGAGAAATTAGAAATTATAAACCATCCGTCTGAACTCCTCTCTCTCACACATATTCATATAAATCTACATTTCCATATATCCCTCTCTTGCATTTCATCAAATTGCAGCCCCAGGGTCAAGAGATGTACTAACACACAGAAACACATTGTAATATGCTGTTAGTATTTCATACAAAGGCAACAGTGGAATTTTGGTGGCATTTTAGAGACAGGCCATTATGTCAATATGGGCAACCACAAACCCTGACACATATTATATTGTCAAAGACTGCAGAATGACTAAACATCCTGGAGGTCTTTGTGCCTTGAACATTGTTTATTAGAATGCTGCAGCTTGGCTTAACTAGATTGCATATACCAAATAAATACATCAGAGAGACATTGGAATGCAGCTTTAAGCCTTCACAGAATTCATTAAGCTTTTGCTTTACCTATAACTTTGCTATAAGATATGATTCATTAAGAGTGACCAATCTATTAGAAGGTGAATAAACAGCAGTGTCTCCTTAGATACTTCATAATGTTAAGAAATATCAAAGCCTAGTGCAGGCTTAATTTTTATAGCAAACACCAGGAGAGAACCAAAATATAGCAGAGACACTTTACTGTAATGAGTCTTCCTTAATATAATTACTTCCTTTCACTGCCTTCTCTCGCCTTTCCTTTCTTATTTTTATAGAAAAATCTGTTTTAAACTCACAATTCTCACTGTCAATCTCTTGGTCGCTATCTTACTAAAATATCATTATTTAAACATTTATGGGTCTGAGTCTCATTTTTACCAAAGCCTACCTCCAACCTGGCAATGCAAGGTGGTATAGGCAGTAAAATAATTTTGCCAAAGCCAAGGTTTACACCAGATCTGCAGTATTTAGGCCAAGCCATTTTTGAGTTATGAGCAGCAAAAAGTAAATAGAAAGATATCCATAAAGTTAGAATGTACCATTTTTGGACTCTACAATCTCTCAGATTTGCCTCAGATGCTCTAAAAGATTTTTGCCTCAGCAAAACATAAAACATCTAAACTGTTAGGAAGATTGATAAATTTGGATGCAATGAGTAGGGCCAAAGTTGATTGAAAGTGAAGGGCTTGATTAAATGTTAAATATCAAATCTTCAGTATGACATTAGGATTTGCTTACAGCACAAAGAGCACAATCTGAATGGAAGTTAAGGCAGATTTAAAAGCATAAAAAGAATCATCACACCAGATTTTTTGCCAACATTCCTCAGTGGCAAAAAGGAAGAGAAGAAGCAATGGAGTTAGTGAAAAGTGTCAGAATTCAAATGCTAGGAAAAGGGAGTCCACATCCAAGGCTCATGGTAGGAGTTTAAAATTGAATGGGGGTGCAATAAGAAAAAAAGATTCAGATTAAAAGAGGAGATCTTCTATCTATTGAGCGAGCTAACAGAGGGGCAAGATAGAGAAAAGTAAAGGTTAATTAAAAAAACAACTATTCTGGTGCAGACATTACATTATACAAGCCAACCCATACAAAAGACAGGAAAACAACTTCTGATCAGAATTGAACTTAACCTTTTCATTATTAAAAGATGGTATTTCGTTCTTCTGTTGGTCTATTTAGCAACTGACTATCACATACTGTATCTTCACGCTATTTCTCACACTCTCCCAATGGGTGGTGTGTGGCTATGTGGTTTCCATAAGTAATTGGCTGACCTTTATCTCAAGAGCAGGAGTGTGACAGAGCAACAAGGGCTTTTATAAAATGTAAGAGTGCTCTGACTGGAAAAAACAAACTTGTATCCATGTTCCCTATTCCTGGGCTATCACCTCAGAGTCTCTTCTCTCTTAGGCCACAACCAGTCTGTTGCCTCCCCAAGGGTTTAATATGGAATCTCCTGCCTTTGAGGTCCCCTTGGTAACTAAGTTAGTTCGAATTAGCGCTGTAGTGTAGACATACCCTTAGTTATCAATGCACACAAAAACTATACCAAAGGCCTGACATAAATCCAACAAAAGCAAAGAAATGCAGTTGGGCTCTTGTTTCTTAGATACAGCAGCAGATATCACAAAGAAACCAACAGATCTTAGCAAAATCAAAGCGTACGCTGTGAGTTAAAGATGAGCTTACAGCCTTAACAATTTATTCTCCTTCCAGAATGCCCTCTTACAGTTTTACGATATATGCACCCAACCCAATCAGAGGCTAGGAAAAGGCTAGCAGCCACTGGCATAATAACAATTGAGACTATTGAAAGGGGCATCACAAAACCAAATGCTCTCGTTTCACCTTTCTCTTACAAGGAATCTTAGCTTTATTCAAATATTTTTAATTGATTCTACATACAGGCAGTCCCCGACTTACGTCGGATCCGCAGTTACGAACGGGGCTCCCCCGGAGGACACGGACTGCGGGACCTCACGGTCCTGCCGCCCGTGTACTCCGGGGCTTTCTCTGCCTCTCCCTGGTCTGCAGACCAGGAAGACGCAGAGTAAAGCCACGGGGGGGGGCTCGGGGAGCGGGACAGCCCAGGCGCGCTCTGGGCGCTACTGGACCAACTCGGCAGCACCCCAGCTGCTCTGCCCCAGGCGTCCTGATTCAGCCGCTGCTGGTCAGTTTCAGCAGTGGCTGAATCAGGACTTCAGCAGCGGCTGAATCAGGACGCCTGGGGCAGAGCAGATGGGGTGCTGCTGGGTTGGTCCAGTAGCACCAAGGAGCGGCGCTACTGGAGCAACCCAGCAGCACCCCAGCTGCTCTGCCCCAGGCGTCCCCAAGTCAGCTTTTGCTGAAACTGACCAGCGCTGACTACAGGAAGCCCAAGGCAGAGTTGCTCTGCCCCGGGCTTCCTGGAATCAGCTGCTGATCAGTTTCAGCAGCAGCTGACTTGGGGATGCCTGGGGTTCTTAAGTTGAATCTGTATGTAAGTCAGAACTGGCGATCAGTTTCAGCAGCGGCTGAATCTGGAGCCAGTTCCGACTTACATACAGATTCAACTTAAGAACAAACCTACAGTCCCTATCTTGTACGTAACCCGGGGACTGCCTGTATGCAGATTTGTAATATCTACTTGATGTTCCTTACAGCCAGACACCTCACTCTACAGATTGATCCTCCCTGATCTGGCACTCCCGGGACCTGAGTGATCCCAAACAAGGGAATTTGCAGGATCGGGGGTGGTCAGATCTCTGAGATCTCCCTGGGCTCCCCTCCTGGCTGCTGCCCCGAGGGGAACCCAGAGACCCAACCTCCTCTGGCCCACCTGCCTGGCTCTGCTGGCCTCAGTCTGCTTATGAGACTCTGCTCCCGGCACCGCGCAGGAAGAAATCTGCTCCTGGGGTTCTCTGCGCCCAGCTGCCCGATCCCATGCAAAGGGGCAGCTGCTCCTAGGGGGCCGCCTGATTCCACAAAAGGTGGCAGTCGATATTTGGGCTCTGTGTCACTGGCCGCCTGGCCCTGCACAAGACAGCAGCCACTCTTGGGACTCCCTGCACCCATTATCCAGCCCCGCACTAGCAGGCAGCTGCTCCTGGGGCTTCCTGTCCCCAGGTCACTGGCCCTGCAGGCTGCCACCCCCAGACAGGCTCTGCTCCCAGTCACTTTCAACTTCTGTGGCTGGGGCTCTTTGGTCTAGCAATATCTGTGGTCCTGCCGGACCAGAGAGTCCTGGACAAGAGAGCTTCAACCTGTACTAGGCCTGGTTAAAGCTTCAGTGACATGCATAACATGCCTAGGACTAAGATTTGTAACACTTCTACCCGAATTGCCAGCCAGGAATTATTCTCTTAAAATGTTCCCTTCAGAGACCATTTCTACAATCATTAGGCCTCTCTGTCCTCTTTCTTGGATGGCTGATGTTGGGTTTTGCTTTTTTGTATCTCTTTTAATTGTTGGGATCTGAAGAAAAATAAGCAAAAGAGAAAGAAGTTATTGTGCCAATATCTGCTCTTTAGGTACATTGCCTCTGCAGATCATTTATTGCACCCATTTTTTTAAATGTAGTAGAAACAGCTATGGTTG